AACATAATATGGGTCTAAAATTATTCATTAAAAATCGATTACAATATCTATTATATCTAGAGATCTTGCTAGTCGTTCAATCGATTTTTAATAAATAATTGTTAACTCATATTATGTTAATCTTGTTCCCGTAAAAAATATTCAAAAAGTAACCAACAATAAATAAATATAAACGGTTTTATGAATTTTAATGATTCGTAAAAATGTATTATTTGTTAAAATTTAAATGGCTCTTATTCAGTCAATTTTGGTTTTAGAGTCATGAAAAAAATCGATTTATTCCAATATAATGCGGCCGAGAAATGCAGTATTCCCTAAATTGGTAAACACACTGTATACATTAATTTTAGTAATATTACCCATATAATTTTCACTATCGCTGTTAGAGCAATAATCAGCAGAAATACGGTATTTTAAATCCACGACAAGACTAAAGAACATTAGAGATGAGCAATCATCTGGTAGTTGACTAATTGTGGCATTTTTATTACAATCAGAGACAACATAATAACATCCCGATATTCCAGGCCCTGAAAACCAAAAAATAAACTTATAATTTATTCAGTTTTTTTTTAAAAAACATGTTGAGTTTTCTTAAATAAAACCAAGCATACAGAACAGCAGAAGATTAAAAAATTAATTAGTGTTTACAACTTTATGTAAATATTTTATTTTATTTCATTTTATCAGTCACTCTATTTCTGAATCAGGTATGACACTGAAAAGTGCGTTTCTTGTTTAAGATAGCGTGTTTTGCTATGTTTTATGATACGGCAAAAAAAGTAGGTTATGCACCTGATATCGATACCTACAGATAGATTTGCTTAACTACAAACACGTTATAAAATAATATAAATATAAGACACCTAAAACTAGATGCATTACACGACTTCGACTGGGAAAAAATGAACAAATATAATCTATGCTTGGTTAATTCCGGTTTGAATGTAGGGCTTCAGTTCACGGACCAATTGGAAATGGTTTACCTTAACTAAAATGTTCGAACTGCACTCGACCCGAGCAATAACTTTAAACATGACGTAATAAATTTGGGAAAAACCGTAAATAGGAATACTTACCTACATATTTCTATATTATTATTTTGAAATCATAACTTAATAGTATTTATTTAAATTTTAAATTTTTATTAATTTTGAAAAACAACTCAATTTACATTCTGGACGGAGTGACGAATGAATATCGATCTTACAATGTTGAGGATAAACAGGAATTTGTGTGTAAAACTTTCAGCATATTCAGCTAAATTGTTTTTGTTTTGTTTAGTGCAAAAACATAAAAAAAAAAAAAACTAAACACCTTCAATACATTTTAAAATTTCCTAGACATGAATTCGTTTTCTAAATATTTTTTGAGCTATTTATAGAATTTGAAAATTTCATTTTATTAGTTTGAGGATTCTAAACTTAAGTTTAGAAGTTTATAACACCTTATATCCTCGTTAATTATCAGTACGTAATTTAAATTACTTGATGTTAAGTTATTTATTTATTGTCCATAGTTAAACTGTGCATAAATTGTATATTGAATTATAATTTACTGCATCGTTTTAAAATACGTTTAGAAATCAATAATTTAGCTTCCCTAGCAAAGTGAACTTTCCAAACTTGGTTTTCTATATATGTCAATAAAAAATATTCCCTGATTTAAAAAGTATGAACATTTAAAACAAGGCTCTTCATAAGGAGTTTTTAAAGATAGCTAATATTAAAAAAATAATTTAAATATATGCGCAAAATGTTGTTTTAAGAGCATTTGTAGTTGAAATGTTTCAAGTTATTTTTTCAAGAGTCGATTGATATTGAATATTAAATAGGTTATAAGTAAATAATAATCAAAATGACTGAAATTCAAACTGAATGTATCCTTTTTTTTTCCGAGGAGAAAATATGTGCTATTCCGATTCGACCTTACCCGCGTAAGGTCGAATCGGAATATGGGCATCAATCTGGCTGCGACGTATTGGAGTATACATATTTGGTGTATTAACTATTTAGGTTGAATGTTATAGTATAACAACATGATCAAATTAGTTGCGAATTTTTGTATTGGTACCACAATTCAGGCAGGAGTAGCAGGATAATTTTTTTCATCGTCAGGCCACTTTTTCTTCACCTCAGTAAATATGTGTATTTTATGTAGGTACAGATGGATTGAAGGGTTATACATTTAATATATTGAAGAATTGAACAATTTGGAAAGTTCGAAATAGATTATCTATCATCTATGTATACCAATATGTATGTATACACCCATAAATAATAACTATAAACATTACTACCTATATCTCACATATTAAAATATTATATATTACATATTACATTATAGTACGTATTAGTTGTTTTTATTAACATTTTGTTTTTTTTTTAAATTATTTATGATTTGTGAATAAATAATTTGAAAGTATAATACAATAGTAGCAAATCAAACATATTTAAAAGTTTAAAACACATTTCTCTGTTATTTTTCATAAGTAAGCATTTGAAATCAAATTTTGACTAAAATCATAAAAATGTACACATTTTTTTGTAGTTAAGAATTCATGAATTTTTCTTTCAACAACTAAAATGGCTTGAAATTGTAACACATGATATCTCATATTCTATTTTTTTCTACACACAAAAAAGTTTTAAAAATATCAAAATACATTTTAAACTAATTCTAAGCATATCATTCAAAAAGCCTGAAAACGAGATACAAAATATCCACACATAAAGTATCAAGTAAAACTACTAAAAAATTGAAATCCTACATTGGATACCAATTACCAATTATTTACGCATGAATAGAATAACGTAATATACTTACACAAACGTAAAACACGTTTGTAGACATTTAATTAATGTTTTTTTAAAATAATATAATTGAACAGGAAGCTCACCTTTTTGTTTTTGAGATTGTATGTGTATTGTCAATATAAGAATGTTAATAATTAAAAGTAAAGAATTGTAAAAGTACATTTTTATTAACTGTGTGTAATGTTATGCAGATTTAATACTTTATTCAGACATACTGTCGGCATTATTAATTATAATTTAATAAAACACATAAAATGTGCTTATTGAAAACTAATTTTTATCATATACTCGGATAATAATGTATTATTAATTAATTAGCCGACATTTTATGATATTAAATATTTATATTTCAGCTATTTCGAGGGAGCTTGTATACAATTTGCTCACATAAACACATGTTCAAATACAAACAGTTTTTGTGTTTCAATTTAAAGCTGACAGTTTATAAGCCGTATTGTTAGCAATTAATAACTAATAATTATAGAAAGGTCCAGGATTCAAAATACGACTGAAGCCTAAAACTATATAAATTATAAAAAAATCAAATTAACCAGTCACAAGTGGATTATTAAATGGATTTAATTGCAACTCAACTTTAATTATTATAAAATAATATAAACGTAGATAAAAATTTAATTTTCATACACAAAGAAATTTCCCTATAATGGTAAATACAACTTTGAGATAAAATAAAATGAATAACGAATGGGCGGCAATGTCAGTATTGAAATTACTGAAATACATTTTCTTTTAAAGTCAGAACTTGAAATATTATACGAAATTGAGAAAATAAAAATAAAGTATTGAACTTTATGTGTTGAAAATGTACGGATTGCAATGGCGAAGCGTCATAGGAGACAATGAAACAACGTCTTCCCACATAGAAATTAGAGCACGGGAAAAATAAATAATACTCTTGTTTTATAAAATATTTAAAAATTTGAATAGATCATAGTCATAATCGTCCAAATATGGTATTACATATCAAATAGATGTTGCGACGCAACAACTCGCGAATACAAGAGTGTGGGTACTGGAGGATTTTTAATGTGAGTGGGGTTTACTATCTACGCTATGAGACGCTTTTCATAATAATACCTGATGAGTGATGAGTGATGGGTGATACCTCGGACCTCGGTCCTCATTTAATTGACGTCGCTGTCGCGTAGTCACGCCATCGTGATAGGTAAATAGTACATGTTTCTTAATATTTATTGTTTTTATAATACTTTATAATAGTACTTTGTAATTTGTCCTCATGGCTGATGATTCGACCATTCTGAACGGTGAAATTATTAACTATTCATACGAAATAAATTTCAATTAAAAAATAAAAGTCCATGTCCCTTATTGAATTTAATGTAATTAACTTATTTTCTAAGACAAAAAAAGAAAAATAGATTTATCGTAAATTTGTTTTTTAAACCTCATCATAGTGTGAGTTGCATGCATATTTTATTACATTTTATTTTGTTTGCTATAATACATTTGTTATTATATTAAATTATTATTTCAAATTTTTAAGGAAGTTGTATCGTTTTAAGTATAATATATCAGTTTGTTTTTAGTTTTTGAAAATTTATTTCTTATTGTATAGATAAAATAGAAAGGGGGGAAGGGGTCCAGACGTATTGGTGCTTTTTTTTCAGTGTCTCCTCAAATAAAAATCTCAACCCTCGCTTTATAATAGTCGAGTGTACCTTATCATTACACGTAGGTCACTGGATAGTGGATAGTATGTTTACGGGATCCTTTAAAAAAAATCTAACCTTTTATTTATTTAGTTTATATAATACCCATTCAAAACAATGTAATGTCGACGCACTGCGACGACACACGCGTCTTTATTTAAGTCCGTTCGAATTCATTGTCATCCTTCTTAATCAATTCCGTAAAAAATAAGGGGATACCTGCGTGGCTACGTGTAAATCGCTAACGTCAAACTCAATTTAAATTGTCTAATTTAAGTTGAATCTGAAAGACTGTAAGTATACGCTCTCTCCGTGCCTTGCAAAATGTGGTTCTTTTATTCAGTCGTCGAGTTTTCGCATTATCGCGTGAGTCGTTCCGTGACCTATATACTCTCCTAAGAAATGCAGTCCTCTCCGGATATCACCCGTGTACAAAATAAACACAATTTGGATGAAATATAGAGCATTATACAGCATGCTAGACTAACAATTCCTGCAAATTCAAAAAATCAGTAGTTTATCAGTAGTTGCTATTAAAATTGTAAAATGTAATAATTCCACGTATTTGGCTGCTATTTTAGTGGGTAGGTACCTATTTATTATTGGTTGGTCTTGCGTTCAAGACAAAAACATCATCACAATATTCGCATACTAATAACACAGACTTCAAAATAACATATGAAATCGGTAAAATAATTTCTGTCTCGTCATAGTGGGGATTGGGGAACGATTTGATCATCCCGAGGGACACGTACCACAAGCACTCGACGCGACGACGCTGTTCTCACCCAAGTACTCAAACTCAACCACCGTAGACCGCGGCCGAACATGAAATAATATTATTAGCAAATTCGCTCGGACAAAAGTCGTAGGGTAGGCGAGTTCAAACCCCGGCGGCGGATATATCGTCGCCGTCGTTATCACGGCCGTCTTGTGCTGCCCGGATTTTTTGCATTTTTTTTCGACTTTTTTTAAAGTTATACTTTAATTTCAAACCATTTTGAGTTTATTATATGTACGTTACTTATATTTTAGATATGGAAACAGTTATTTAACAGGTTGTTCAATACATTTTTAAACATGATTATTTAAGACATCAGAATGTCATGTCGGTTCTTTCTTTAATAAAAATTTCACCACAGAACACTACAAAGGGGTATAGATAAATATTTATAATTTGGATATTCCGTATCATCGTCGACGATAAAATGTTTCCGTTTCCTTTGGAAAAAACATTCAATTAAGCTTAACTATGTGTATGTATAGTATGTAATTATGGTTGTTATTACTATACAATATAATATGTACTTAATAATATTATCTCCAATCATTAATTTATCGTATGGTGGTTGTGTGGTGGAGAGGGTAACTTAAGCTTAGCTGAACTGTGCCGTCGTATGCAACGTCAGGCCTTGGCCAACGTTTGAACTATACGTTTCATGCACAAAAATCCGTATAATTTTTTTGCACATATTAAAATATTTTTTCTAGACTCCTAACAAGTGCTTCTCTTTTACCGGGTTCTTTGTGTTTCGTTGGGCGATTTGACGATTTCGATACCGGTGAGTACAATGTTCATAGTCCATAGACATAATAGTATTATTAAAATTATTTATGCCATGCTTTGGTATTTTCATTACATACCTACAACGTACCTACAAGTGTATTCGTAACAGCGCACGAACATTTCAGTACACTCTTTGTACATACACCAAATTCCACCCTTCCGATGTTAGTTTTTTCTTTTTGTAGGTACACCATTCATTTACTTTCTTCAAACATAACGTTCTTCATATCCGCATATTGTACTCGGAATTATCTTTCGCTGTGGTCGGCATTGGCCCGCAAGCCGTTTCACGGAAGTCATTCTTTTAATGTGCGCGTTACCATTGCGTATTTGTTCTGTTCTGTAATGTCGCTTTAACATTTTACGCATACATTTAACCGTGCTGCGACAAGCTACCTACACTGCACTTCTTCCTATTTATCAATTTTTTATTATGTAGGTACATGCTACACATTATCAGGTAGCTATGCATCGATTCTAAAAATAACTCAGAATTTTTCATTACTGATAACAAACTGATACCAACGTCATATTATTCAATTACCTACAATCATAACGAGTGTACACTGTTTGTTTTTCAAATGTTTTTACTTATTCATCATGATGATACATGGTCACGGTAATGTATGCATGTACGTATGGTATAGATATTTTTCATGATCTATTTGTTTATTGTACAACTGCTTTACGACATTTCTTAGGGTATTCACAATGGTGAAACGCTGTGCGGTATGTGGGAATGTGGACGGTTTCAATGACGTTAGCATACACAGGTATTTACATTTAATCCAACACATAATAATACTGTGACAAGTGTATTAAATTATTCACCATTATATATATAATATATATCAATAACAAATTCATCTTTAGAATTCCAAATGATGCACATCGATTTCAGTGGATGGAATTTGTAAGAAACCAGGGTGTAGTCCCAATCTTGGGCATTAAGTTGTGTTCGAGACATTTTGTTCCTGGCCTAGACTACACTGTCGACGCTCGACAAATCATCACATGAGGTGTATTTGTTATCACACAACCACCACAAGTAAATTACCATATAATATATATAGGTACACAGAAACATTCTTTTGTGAATTTTTTTTTTATACCTTCAATAACTCTGCTTAATATTCATTCTTCACAATCAAACATTATATTATATAAAATTAATACATTGACACAAGCATTCTATGGTACATTAACTGCAAACTGAACACACTATAAATATGTTTTATCATATTGCATTCTACTTTTAATTTAAATAACAGTTAATGACTTGATAACTATAAAGTGCAGTGCAAATAAACACAATACAACAATAAACCCATTATTGCATGTTCGCTATGCATTATACATTGTTCATTATTAATTTTATACTTGAATTATTATTAATTTTATACTTAAACATTTTAACTGACCGCCTATCATTATGTAGGTAGTCGGACCTAATCGGGACCGAGAAGATCGTGCGGAAAATGTCGATGCCGGTGTGGAAGTGATTGAAGTACAGATGGATGAAGTTTTGTTTGATGACAACAACATTGAGGTAGTTGTGGTCCGGTTGGACGACAACAACGTTGAAATTATGGATGTCCTCATGAAAGGAGAAGAACAAGGACCATTTCAAGTAGAAGTGGTACCAGACGATGATGACTTTGTTGGTGTCTTTAACGTTTCACCACTTTACGTCATTGAAGAGGTTAGAAAATATTTTATATCATCACAAATTTTGATGAACCAAACCAAACTCCAATACTAAATCACTTGAATTGNTATTTTATATCATCACAAATTTTGATGAACCAAACCAAACTCCAATACTAAATCACTTGAATAGCAGGTGGAACATCCATTGGTGGCACGCGCGCCGTTGATAGACCGACCGGCGACCGGCTGGCGTTCAGCACCCACTACCTGAACCACACGACATAGGAGCATTGAATGCAGTCTATAGACAATGTAGGTACGTAACTTTATGTGCGAACGCATTGGTGTCAACCGGGGTCATTTTTCGACGTGCTGCAGCAACGGTCTGATGGCCGTTTCAGGACCGCGGGTGCTGACAATTGCACCTCATCTACTGCAAAGGCTGCTGGTTGAAGATACAGCGGAAGGCAGACACTACCGAACGCACGTTCGGCAATATAACAACACTTTGGCGTTTGCTACTTTCTCCAGCGACCTCAACACACGTCGCTTGCCAGGTCGGGGACCAACTATGTTCACTGTCCATGGGCAGGCATATTGGACGATAAGTAATGACTTGCTTGGAAATGAACAAATGCAACGCAGATACTGTCAGCTGTATTTTGTCGAATCTGGGGAGGCAAATCGGATTCGAGCAGAACAGCAGAATCTACAGCCCAACACACACCGTCTCTTGCCAAGGGTGCTAGAGGACTTAGATCGCATGTTACGAGACATAAATCCATTCGCACAGGCTTTCGAGTAATAATATATTAAAACGATTTACAAACCACACCACATCAGCACTACGCAACAACCAAACATTCATTCATTTATAGTGCCAACAATTGAACAAAACCCAACCTCATCTGCGCTTTGAGTTGACATTCAACTAAGATATTAATGTAAAGCTGCTTTGGCCTAGAAAGTATTATTTAAACTATTTTATTCACCTTAATTAAAAATTAAAAATGATGGTAATTCACCTGCCCACTCATGTCGTTGGCTTAAAAATTGTGTCTATTATGTTTCTACTTTCTATTTCAACAACACAAATCTGCACTTCACATGCCGCTATGGTCAGAATCAATGATTCTTACGGATTGCTTTGGTTCACTATCATTAATCGCGCACTTACAATAAACTACTACTCAATGCATATGAACTAAACAATAGGTATTAATGAACATTATAATTTTGCATTTTCTTACTTATTGGTTCTTCATACGCTAAATATTACTCTTTGTTGACATTAGGTGTGCGTATCAAGTATAATCTTCCATTATCATTACACGGGACTCTGACATTTACATTTTTAAAAACACAAACAATACATTAATAGATGCATTACAACATTGACACCATATACTGCACTATGTATTACCCATAACTATTATACATTTTCAATTTTAAAACCGCGTTATTCTATTACAGGACTATGCGAGAAGTGTGGGCAAGGGAAAACGCTCCAGACAGAGATCCTCAGTTGCAACCAAGAAGAGTGACAATGCATTTCGTCGCCGACGGAACCGTGGACAGGAGGCGATACAATCCACCGCCTCATGCGGTCAGCGAAGTTGCAGCAGTGTTTGTCGGCAATGACGGCCAACCGCCTATGAACGTTGATCTGGTCGTCTACGACCGGAATCCAATTAATCCTCAACACCGCCGGCTACAGTCCATTCCTGCCGGCTCCGCAAACGCAGAACCAATGCTGTATCCCCTGTTATTTCCACGAGGGGAGCTCGGTTGGCACTACAACTTGTAGCAAGAGGGCGTCCGCCGAAACCGTGTCCGATCTCGGAACAGTATCAGGGAGTACACATGCTATCGTCTGGCCATTAGATATCATGATAACAACGACACGATCAACGATAATATGACTTATGAGTTTATTGCATAGTGGTGGATTTCTGTTGCAGCAGTACATGTGTGATCAGTATGTTCGAATGGAAGCGAACAATTTAGCGTACATCAAAATGCATCAGGCTGATCTTTTCGCCAAATCGTATCAGGGACTTGTAGATCATATCAACCAACAGCTACAAGTCGACATACCCACGGCTGTTGGCCGTAGAATGATTTTGCCATCGTCGTTCACGGGCGGTCCCCGTTACATGAAACAAAGTTATCATGACGCGATGGCCGTCGTGCGTAAGTACGGAAAACCTAATCTTTTCATTACGTTTACGTGTAATCCTAGGTGGCCAGAAATCACACAGAACCTAGCGAGATGGAGCGCGGCAAACGACAGACCTGACCTGGTGGCCAGAGTGTTTCACGCTAAACTCAAGCAGCTGCTGCTGGACATAACGGTGAACAATGTATTTGGTAATGTCGATGCATATGTTTACACTGTCGAGTTTCAGAAACGCGGACTGCCGCACGCCCACATACTGATCATTCTGAGCGAAGATAGCAAGTTGTTAACCGCCGAGGACGTCGACAACGTTGTGTGCGCGTTCTTGCCAGACCCGGCGACTGAAAGGCGCCTGTTTGAGTGTGTGACGAAGCACATGATTCACGGACCGTGTGGCATGCTGAACCCCAACAGCCCGTGCATGGTGGACAATAGTTGTTCTAAGAACTATCCAAAGGAATACAGTGATGAGACTGAGTACATTGCTGACGGCGGTTATCCAAAGTACCGCCGGCCAGACAACGGACCTGTGGCCAGAGTTAGGACACTTGAGGTCAGCAATGAGTTTGTCGTGCCGCATAATCCGTACTTGCTTGCAAAATACGACGCACATATAAACGTTGAGGTGTGTTCTACTGTTAAGAGTGTTCAGTATTTGTATAAATACATATTTAAGGGGCACGACGCAGCGACCATGGAGCTGTGGAACGGAAATGAGATCGAAAGGTATGCAATTTATTTGAATTTTTTAGATACAAAATTAGCAACAATAAGAATGGTTTTTTGTGTAATAATTGATCTTTTGGTTCATTGAATAACAGTTATAGTGGTAAACATATACCTAATGCAAACATAAAAAAAAGTTCTACAATTTAGCAACGACACAAAAACCATACACTACAATGCACTGTGTGTGTGTGTGTGTTAGTGAACACATTTGTTCTTCACTTTGTACATATCACCAACAGCAACACATCATTTTATTTTAACTATTGCATTTATAAATTTTCCAATTATTACAATATCACATACATATCAAATATACATAATTGAACTACAGTTACGGTGTTAAAATTTCAGCTGTTGCCTAACTGTTCACCAAAGCAGACGCACATTGCAATCACATCAGCTTTAATTATATAGTACATACAACTTACAGCAAAGCAAAAAATACTAACTTCTATTACTTTGGAGTTGTTGTATTAGGATAGTTGGTTTCTTTTAAATGTGTAATAATGCATAGGTCAACACAGAGGACAGTGCATTAAACCTCAACCTTAGACTAGGTTATTTTTTGGAATCACATATATCACATATATAATAATAATAATAATATATTACAAAGCCTGCATTTGTATTACAGTGTTTTAATTGTTCCATTACAATATGATGTCATTCAGTCATTTCATTTGACAATATGCACTTGGTTCTTTAATTTCATATTTATAGCACAATATTTTATAATGTACAACGTAGAAAAAACAACATATGAAAGTACATACAACTGTTAGTTGTTTTTTTTTAACAACTTTGCTCTGCATTAATGTAGATTGACACAACTATTCACATACTAATATTGTCATTAAAAATGTACTTAGAGTGTGTCATTAGAATATAAATGTTCTTTTAGTTTCATAAATTCGAGATACGTCAGCCCGCCAGAAGCAGCCTGGAGGTTGTTTGCGTATGAAATGAACTACACAGAATCAGTCATACAATCGTTAGACTTCCGGTGCACCTCGAAAACTATCATAACGTGTACTTTGCGCCTGGACAGGAATTAGAGCGAGTTCAAAACGCCGCCCTAGCTCGAACAAAACTCACGGCGTTCTTCGCGCTCAACGAGGCTGATATCGAGGCCAGACAGTACCTGTACCACGAGATACCGGTTCATTACACTTGGAACACACATCGCAGACGGTGGGAACGGCGGCTAAGACAGATGACCCGCGAGACGTTGTCTCGGATGTATGTTGTCAGCCCACTGGATAGAGACCGTTTCCATCTGCGACTGCTACTTTTGCACAAAAGAGGTCCACAGTCTTTCCGCGACATGAAGACGATCAACGGGGTCGTGCATAACACATACGCGGCCGCAGCCGTCGCGCTGGGACTGTTGGAAGACGACGCAGCGTGGCTGGCATGCATGTCAGAATCGTCGACGTTAGACAAACCCAATCAACTGATTTATCTTTACGTCACGATCCTATTGTTTTGCCATCCCGCGGACCCCTTGAACTTGTACCAGCGATTCGAATTCAACATGATACAAGACTTCAATAGGCGTTTCCAAAACGTCGACCGAGCGAGGGCAGCATGTCTCAACGCGATCGGAGACCTAATTCGTGCACGCGGAAAGTCGCTCGACGACTACGGCCTACCCCACCCAGACGTCGATCTATTGGAACCGGAACAAGACGATCCAATGTTCGGTGCAATAGACGCGACCGTAGGCTGGGCACAACAATTGGACAACTTGAACGGGGAACAGCGAACGGTATACGATCGCGTGATGGCGGCCGTCATCGACGACAACCGCAACGTTAAAAAAATGTTCTACGTCGACGGGCCGGGAGGCACGGGTAAAACGACGTTTTACGGATGCCTCATATCGTCGCTTCGTAACATTAATCGGACGGTGTTGTGCGTGGCGTACACCGGGATCGCCGCGTCCCTCATGGACGGTGGTATGACAGTGCACTCGACTTTCGGATTGCCATTGGCAACGCTGACCGAACAATCTACTTCGAGCATTTTGCGGCGTTGCCAATTTGGTGGATTTCGTCTACCCGCAGCAATTGTCGTTGAACAACGTCGACGACTATGCTCGGAAAATCATTCTGTGTCCACGAAATGAGGAATGTCAACAAATGAATTCCACGGTGCTCCGACGGGTCGTGGGCGCTGAAAGGACGTACCACGCTATAGACACAGTGGAGGTAGACGACCCGGACGAAGCGGCAAACTACCCGACTGAGTTCCTCAACTCTCTGCAACCCATCGGGCTGCCGCCTTACGCGTTGACGCTCAAGGTCGGGTCCATTGTCATGTTGCTAAGGAACATCGATTCGAAGAGGCACCTGTGCAACGGGACGAGGTTGGTGGTCACCGAACTGCGGCGACACAACTTCAAGAATGTTGTCCGGAGGCGAAGACGAGCAACACAACGTCGTATTACCTGCCGTTTCGTTGACTTCGGGCGAGGAGGACGATTTGCCTTTTCAAATGAAACGTATTAAATTTCCCGTACGGTTGTCGTTCGCCATGACAATCAACAAATCTCAGGGCCAAACATTCGACCGAGTCGGTTTACTCCTGCCGTCACCCGTGTTCACACACGGCCAGTTGTACGTAGCGTTTTCAAGAGTGAGGAACTCAACGACAAGTATTCTTTTAAAGAAATGTCTATAGTAGGCACTGAGACATCGTTCAATCAACATTGGATATTTAAACATACATCTTTAAAACAAGATGCGAAAAGTCGAAGTGTAAACAGTTGGCTACAACGGCTGCATCACAGTTTGTCTCCGGATTACGGTGATGTAGAGTATGAAGAAATAAATATTAAAGAAATAAATAAATAAATATTCCAATCGAACAAATTCGACAGAATTTAGGTTAAAGGTTTGCAAAAAACAACGGTTAGTCATCGACTTTATGCCGCACGCCACCGTCTACGACTTGGAACTCTTTGGATGTCCTCGGATTTGTTCATTGATTGGACAAAAAACCTAACAAAATCATACAGATATTTACTTGATATATTTTGTATGCAGTATAACAATTTTTAACATTTAGTTGTTCAAGTACCCCCCATTGTAACGTTTCTATCGTGTCATCTTCCGAATACATAACCACACGTTTATTGTATTCCATTTTGAAAGTTTTTGATGTAAATGTTATTGCTAATTGTTTAGTTTTAGAATTTCGTGTTATTTGTTGAAAGTGTAGTTCTACGTCCCTTATTTCGTCGTTTATTATTTTTTTCATACTGTCCATATTTAATTTTTGAATATTTTCATAACTTGGTGTAAACTCTTTTATTTTTGTGGTTGTACGATTATTATTATCTGTGTGGGCAAAAATTTTAGGACCTGTCGATACCCAGACGGATATGTCTATACCCGGACCTAATTCATCTGTCCACACGCCTAGCATGCACCCCGTCACCACTTCGGTTTCATCGTAAATATAAAAGACACTATCAGTATCGTAATATACCACTTTCTCGCCTAGATTATCCAGCATTGTATACAATCGCAATCTTGCATTTGAAGTCGTGAATGCAGCTATGTAAATATTAGTATTGTATTCGTGTCCGACGTATTAATATAACGATAACTGGGCTGTGACACACACACACACACACACACACAAACACACAAATGACTGTCGGATCGGTACTAACGCTTATGACAATGGTCAAGTCAAATAATCAATTTTTATCAATTTTAATCAATTTTCAGGTATCTACTATAAACACACCTGATGTTTCAGCATTTTTCATCGATTTTTTAGCAAATGGCGAGTTTGATGAAATGGTAAGTTTANGGTATCTACTATAAACACACCTGATGTTTCAGCATTTTTCATCGATTTTTTAGCAAATGGCGAGTTTGATGAAATGGTAAGTTTAATTACTTATATATATATATATTAAAAATAATACATTTTATATATTTGTAGGTATCGAATACACCGAGACGGGTCTATTACAATGATTTATTATTCGAAGAAGAAAACATTTCCGCAGTCGAAGTTAGTATGGTAAAATATAATATTATTGTAGCACATACGTTATATGCTGTTATAGACTAGAAACAATGTCAAACATTTATCGAGGGATTGTGTTAATCACCAACAAATAAATGGTATGTTTATTTAATGTTGTTTTTTCATATGCATTATAATATATAACAAATATTTACTATCATAGATAAACCAGACGATATCGACTGATGGACTGGCAAAGATTCGGATGCTATATGTCTTGAAGCAATCGAAAGATATATTTGAGGTGAAGGATTTGTGGACGACGAAAGGTTATTACTAGAAGCATGCAATGAATTTGAATCTAGTGCATAATTTGTATTATATACATATAAATTTAAAAATAAAAAACTAATAAGTTTTCATTTATTATTCTATAACTTTATTTATTTATCAATCACAAATCTTCGACGGAGGTAATATTGGGAGAATACGTTTCAGTCATTTTGTCGTCACTCGAAACTTCTTCATTAATATTATAAAGATTTTTTAAATGTTAAACAAACTATAATAATAATAACAAACTTACCTTACAAATATTCCGTTTTGGATGACAGTTTGTAGCACTCCACCGCGAACCATCAAATTGATGGGCGCGTTCCCGAGAAGTGCATCGCGTAAATTTATTGACAGGGGCTTCAGGCAATGGTTGTTCATCGACACTAAACATCGAATTTGATTAATAAACTAACAGTAAAAATAAAAACATTAAACTTACATTGTAGGAAAATTCTGATTCGGAACAGCGAATTCATTATTATTCTTTTCCCGCCTTGAAAATTCTTTATCATTTAAAAAGAAATTTAAAAAAATGACTGTGATATTAAACATTATGAAATGATGTTAACCGATGAGAGGCCATAAGTGCAAATCAGCCACCTTGGTAGGCAATGTGTGAAAATTCAATTGTATGTATGCTTATATACCTGATCTGCCTAATGAACCATAGCATTTAATACAAAAAAATGCGAAAATTAAAAAAAATTACACATTTCAAATTGTTCTATTACGAAACAAATTTAGTTTTTGGTCAGAACTGTAAAGCACTTAAAGAAAAAAAATTCCAAAAGTTACCAAAATCCTAGCTCTACTAATAACAATATAAAATTTCTAAACTGACATACCGTCTCCGCTCAGAATCGTTTTTTGTTTACAGCGATTAGATATAATTGAATTCAAATTTAATACCATCCATTACAGTGACCTCTGAGATGCTTAATGTACAGCAGAGTAACATCCACTTAGCCGCTTGTCTAATTCACTTTTACTACACGACTAACATGTAATTCACTAATTTTTCGTTTTTTTGGTACATATTAATGTTAAATAATATAAAATAATATCATACGAAACACGATTAAGCATAAGCTATAATCCACGGACGTGAGATCTGTGGGCACGATGCTCGGATCGTGGTGGCTAAAAGAAGTAGAGGGTACGGTAAACAATAGATCTTATTACACTTACGTTGTATAAAGTTTAATATCAAACTGTTTCAGTACAATACACTGATAAATACATTGTATAATATTATAATTACATAATAAGCAACTAGTCCTGAACAGTCGTCAAAAATAGCTTTGCCTCCTCAGTTTACAGTCTAGTAAATGTTAATTTTTAAAAGTATTCATGTACCTACAGATACAAATACTTATTTTGAAAAGTATTTTAAATATGTATTTCAACACTCAGTAAATAAGTATTTAAGTACAAATAGAAATACTTTGAAAAAGTATTTGTAGATACTCTCAAAAACCTAATTTCTATTTTTTGACATATTTTAACTTTATAATTAATCAACATAATCTGATATTCATGTTTTAGCATTTTACACCATATGTCATTTGTTCTAACTCTCAAACTATACAAATCTAATATCTAATATATAATTTAAAATCTATATTAGGATTTATGGTTGAGTATAATTCACAGTAAAAAAATAAAAATAAAACAATTCTTAACTAAAATTAAAACTTAAATAAAAAAAAATATATAAACGAATATGTATTTTAAAATTAGAGTCATGAAGTTTTATTATTGAATAGTCTCTTCAATCGAGTTCTCTAATGTATCCTTTCATCTCTTGTGCTAATTGTAAACATTTTTTATAAACATTTCACAATTCAAACAAATTCTAAATATAAAACGCAATGCATTTAATTACCATTAGAGTACAATTTGATAAAAACGATATTGATAACAAAAAATTAATAACAATGACGTCATGGATCCAGAGTTTTATCTTTCGAGGATCCATTCGTGTATCAGAGAGTCAATACCTACCGCAGAATGGTAATCGTGAAGACTAGAATTAGGAGACCAAACTCCGCTTCTGAGAAAGTCCCAAAATAAGCCCAAAGATTAGACGGCCAAATGTTTGAGATTTTTCATGTATTTTTTCGTTTTTTAAAAAATATATGCATTATTTTGAATCATGACAATTATTGTTAGATCTTATAGATTGTACGATTACGCATTTATACATGCGCATATGTGTGTGTTTTATAAACATTTTTTTATTACAAATTTTAATTTAATGATACATATCGGTTTAAAACAATCATTCAAGAAGACATAATATTATGTGTATGGTGCATTGAATAGAATCCTGCTCAGACTTACTGTGAACACAGATATATATTATATATATGCATTAAATAACTGTATATAATGTTGATGGATTGTAGGTATAACTTAATTATTTACACAATAATAAAAAATATTTATGCAATATACACATATGCATATACTTTCCAAAAATGCAAAAAACAAGAATATCCCCATACTACGCATGTTAAAGTAATAACCCTATAGCGTAAGCAGCGCAGCATGTGACCGTTTAATCATGTGACTCATTTCGGTACGTTTTTTTCATGAGGAACGAGTTTGGTCTCCTCATTCTAATATTCGTGATGGTAATTGTCAGAAAAATATTAAGAAGTGATTAAATATTATGTTTATTATGATGTGGCTGTAATAACGCAAAAATTAGAATAAAAGTAAAATAATAAAAAAAAAAAAAAATACTATGGAGAATCACCGTAAATATTAATACGACGCCCGCCGATACTAATATTTAAAATGATCTAAATTTACGTTACTACCTTCCTCCTGATCGTCGGAGGGTTTTCGAGGTCGTGTATTCGATAATTTGATCAAATACACTGTACGATATAAATGTAAATGGTATACTCATATAATTTAATATAATGCAGTCAATAATACTATATTTTATGTTATAATATGTCTTACCTGACTCGCAGATGTCTCTGGGTTATGCTGTAGGAGTTTTAGGCGACACAAATTAATTACTCAAAATACTCGAATCAAAATAATAAAACGCACTGATTATTGCTCGTCATAGGAGTCCAGTTGTCGTTCGTAGAATTCGGAATAGAGATTTTGTTTGGTGGAGCGCATGCACTCGTGAGAGGCAGTTTCACTCGAGAAAAGTTGCTCATGCACTGCCGAAGGGACGATCCGGTTGTGCCGACCAGAGAGTGATAGGCGGCTTCATCATAAGGTTGTTTTGTACATCCGATTTCTCTTCTGTGACAAGGACCTTTTTTTCCATACCTTTTCTCCGGCGGCATGTAAGAAAGCTACACGTCCTACGCTCTACAGTTGCAAACATAGGTACGTGTCGATTTCTTAATCCCTGATCGTATAATATAATTAGACAATTTTGTCTGTGACAATGATTTATTGGGGTCTAGAGATTTCCGATTTCTAAGTGTGAAAGTCTGGCCGTTATTTATTTATTTGTTATATTTTAAATAATTGTTACAATTATGTGTGAGCATATCATTACATGGCCAACCTTGTAAAATTAAAATAAGTTGTACATATCGGCATTGGGTTAGGCCGAAAAAAGTAGATAAAATAAAAATTCAATTCAATTCATCATTGTAATTTGAGAATAATTTGCTTCATCTAATAGCAATTTTTGTTCATCTAAAATTTAAATTTTCTTGTTTTTAACAATACTTTAATCTCACAATCAATTATTTCAACTTTAATAATTCTCCAACATTCAGAAATGCTTTAATTGTTAAATGTATTACAAACTATTATTTATTTATATTTTATGATAAATAGTTTTATTTCATTTGAGGTATAGCTTATTGCATAAATATTAAATAAAGATTTTGTCGTCGGTGTTGTCTATAAAATGTCAACTGTAATTATATAATAATGCGGTGTTTTTTTGTTTACATTGGCGTTACTGTCGGATCCATGCGGTATAAATCGTGATAAAACATTTTTATCATTTTTCTGACAACCACCCCGTACTCGGCGATGGACACTCTGCAATCAAAACCATTTCCTTATCATCGTTGTTGATCTATCGTATCAGAATCACATCTTAAAATCGTTGAAATTGTAGGAACGGTCTTAAAACTAGAATTTGAACCTGATGTAGACGTTCTAGAAAGAGTCTGTCTATACGTAGTCAAATAGACCACCATCGTTGTTATCACTTTGTTGTTACCAAAAAATTGTGCTCCTATCAACAAATTTGAATACTAGTGGTTCATATTGTGAAATTCAATAAATAACTATCGAAGGTCGAAACCACCATCAGAAATGGATGGCTAAAAGTCGTATGAACTCAGGGAGGATAACAGTATAGTTCACTATACTAAATTAAAGAATAAAATATCAATAGCAGAAGAACTCTTATACTGTTATAATAGGTTATTGATCCCTAAGAAAACAAGAAGTGTTATATTGGAGTTACTACATGAAACACATTTAGGAGCTCAATGCTCATAAAACAAAACTTAATACAAGACAACCTTGTTATTATCCAGATATTGAAAGCAATATTGAAAACTGTGTTGAGTTGTACAATTTGTCAACAAATGTATTATAATAATACTAAAGATTAAAAAACCGTTAATTTAACATGATATAGGTACTTATAATATTTAGATGGTAAATATTTTCCAGTTCAATTATTGATGTGCGTTACAAATGCGTTAAATGCAAAACTACTAATAAAAGAGTAATATTAGAGCGAGGACAGTGGTGAATGCAAAAGAGTAATTTAAGGAAGAGAAATTGAATGAATATAATCAAAGCGTGTTGGAGGACGAACAATTTTAAGTTACTCATTTCAGATCCACGAGCGATGGACAGCGAATTAATGTTCAGCGGTTATAAGTGAAACATAACTACCTTGGAAGTAAATACCTACATTATACACGCATAATGTATAAGAAATAATGAACGCATATAGGTAGGTAATTGTATTTGGCATGATAAACCAAAGAGATCTAAATCATACAGACGAA